TTTCTATGCTGCTGCTGATGTGCCATTCTGAACATCCCAAGAGCACCCCGCACGCCACTATGAATATGTCGTACGGTAGTTCTTGTAACTCACTGCTATCTATTCAGTATATGTTATAAATTAAACTATATGTTAAATGCATTCCTATGTTATTTAGTCGTGGGAGAAAGCCAACTTGTTGTAACATGGCTTGTAGTATTTATGTCAACCCTTCATCAAGTCACTGTTACATCTCAGGATTTCTGCTTCACGGGAATGCTTGCTCGCAATTTTGCCAGTCAAACATTCCGGCCTGCTTTTGGGGAGATGGAATTCAAAGATCATGAGCTGGAGAAGCAGAATGAAGATCCAGACCAGGCAACAGACCCAAAGCTGGTGGAAGCGCTGTCGTTTCACGCAGTGAATGGTGTGAGGCTGAGAAGCACCCTTCGATTTCTCGAATCAAGTGACAGCCAATGGTCCGTGGCTTTGCTGTCAATTGCGCTGGAAACCACAAGAGCATTGACTTGGCACTGGTTATCTGGTATTGGGAAGAGTTTGAAAGATGATGAGCGCCCGCCATTGTTCAAACTGATTGACCAAAGAACAAGCATTATCGCCCAAGCTCTCCAATTCCTGAGCGCCTTGTGCCTGAATGCTGAGGGCAGTGGCCGACTGCTGCTATTGTGGTCACGCTATTCTAGCACTCGGTGCTTGCGTGAATTTTGCCAGTCAATGCCAGACAAATGTCGAAACCTTCGGCGTGTTTTGATGCTGACTGCTTCTTGGATCTTTCGAAGGCACCACATGTATATCCGTGATGAGAACTTTCAGCTGTTGCCACTTGGAGATCATTCTGCAGAACAAGAAGAATTGGACAATTTTCTTGCACTGTGGGACGCCAAGCACCATTGCTGCATGCCTCCTGGGATATGCAAAGACTTGAAACTACGGGGGTTAACGTCTAAAGACCTTCAGGACGCTTCGTACAAAACAATGTTCTTCTGGATAGTTCATACGCTGCAGTGCTCCATTGCAGATGTGGAGTCGATGCATTCCCAAAACAGGCAATTTGCAGGGAGTGCATTCTCCAGTGTGGTGTCCAAGTTTGTGAACTCTGAGTCAAAGCGGGTGTCGGAGGAAGCCAAGGAACTACAGAAACTGGAACAAACTCAAGAAGACACTGGAAAGGAATCACTATCGAAATCCAAGACAGAAGGCATCGACGTCAGGGATAGGACTCAGCGTTCAATGAACCCCAAGGCAATGTCGGCTCTTGAATTATTCAGGAAGCGTTTCATGTGCCTGCAGAGAACATCTGGTGAGATAGTTAATCCCTGCAACAAAGATCTTTGGATTGAAGTGAAGGAGGCCTTCAATTCCCTTCCCTCACAAGAGAGGCAATTGTACGAGTCGATGGCTGCGGAGTCCACAGTGCAGGCTGCAATTGACAGAGCAAGAGCAAAAGAGTCCAGGTTCAGGTCCATATCTGCACCTCAATCAGCGGCATCTCCTCAGAGAAAGTTGTGTCATCAGGCGTCCAACATGGAAGTGGTTCAGTACATGGAGAAAAGAAACGGCCTACATGCACAACTTCTTCCTTTGCATGAGCTTTGTGAAATTATCCTTGGGGGAGGCCTACAAGAGTTACAAACACGGGTCGCGAATGCTGGGTCAAGTCGTGCTGCGGGTTTGAATGCTTTGTCAACAGATTCCTTCCCTACAGGTGAAGCTTCCCTGGAAAAGCTTTGGAGATCTCATCTAGCTTCTGGAATCACTGGAAAGGTGTTTTTGAGGAATTCGCAATCTCAAACAGAGAGTATTGGACAACCAATGTCTCAGGAGGACTCTTTTCCGTCCAAAGTTGTGCGTGAGAGCTTCTGTGGAGAGCAGTGTCGTCATTATGCTGATCGGAGGCGCATCGGACTGCGCGCGAACACTCTTGACCTTTTCAACTTCATTGTGAAGCAGAGCTTTGATTGTATCCAGTAAGTTTTCACCAAAGGCCAACAATAGGGTACAACTACGGTACAAAGGTACAAAGATACGACAAAAATGTATTGTCATCATATTATATCATATATTATATTATCCTTTACTGGCATGCAGATTTTGACTGCACAGGGAATAGACTAGATAAAGTGAAGTCACCCGAACACTGTTGGGCCACATTACTGTAAAGAATATGTAATATATTATATACAGTATACGATATGTACACATAGTATTGTGCAATATACTTTAACCATACATCATTCACATATCTTATCTTATATCCACCCAACTAAGACACTTCATGCCTGATGCTTATTTGGTTTATGACACCTAGCCTTGTCAAAAGGAAAGACCATGGCCCACCACTAAATAATCAACATGCCGGCTACATATGCAACGCAACATGTTTGTGGGTTGGTAGCAAAGTTTTAGCAATGGAAGCTGTGAGCCAAATCAATTTCTGTTGAAACATCTATCGCTATGTGCATCGTTTTCAACCGGCACCAAAGCCAGGAAAGGGGGCATCAAGAGCACTGTGCAATCAGATGTACTTTGCGCTTTTGAGGTTATTGATTCAGCTGGTGGAAGACATGTCGATTATGCTTTTATTTCTGCACCTTCTGCCCAGTCTGGCACGCACAAACCTCGGCAAGTGTTTGTTTGCCTTGACTACAAAGGCGTGGACTTGAGCAATTTGGAACCGGATCTAGGTCCAAGAGCTTCACTTTTTCGAGGATTGCTGCTAGAGTTGTCCACGTCGAAGTACTGGCAACCACAAAACACGGTTTATTATCCAGAGCAACCAGCAAAAGTTGGAAGACTCAGGATGTACATGTCTGATGCTTTTGCAGCTCATCTTCTGGATATGCCCATTCTTGTGGATGAGAAGCTTGACGCTGTTGAGGTATCGGCCACTGTGCCTTTGTTTCAGGAGATCTTGCCTGGCCTAGTGAGAATTCTGGGTGTAGACAACTCAATGTCAAGCTTGCTGGTGAAAGCAGATCATGTCATGTTTGGCGAGCAGGATGCTAACGAGTCTGACGACTTGAATTTGCCAAGCGTGGTAGGTGCAGCTATTCCAATCTCAGGGGAAGTGGATTTGTTGCAACTGCTGGAGCAGCAGTCAGGTTGTCAAACCCGTGCCTCAGACGGAAAACCTCCACGGAAGAGGACTAAGACAACAAAGCCTGTCCAGCCGCCAATGCCTGATGATGAACAAACACCATCAAATCCAAAAAATAGAGATGACGCTGTCCTCGACGATCCCTCATTGCGAGCCTTTTTGACTGAGGATGACATCGAGGCAGTCTGTTTGCAAAGCAGCGCAGACTGCAGGGGACGTCTCAGATTGGATTGCTCAAATGGTAGAAGAGGATGTGGAGCAAGATCCTGACGATGAAGACATCACCGCCAGTGAGATAGCGACGCACCCGCCTGCTGAGGAAACTTCAGAGACAGGTGCTGCATCATCATCTGGATTCAAAGAGCAGCCACACCCAACTTCAGACACTTTCCTGGAATCTGATTGATGAAATTGTTTGCTAGTTTTTGAAGTCACCCCATTCTTCACCACAACACCAACCCTTTAAATTGTTGGTGGTGAGATCAGACTATTCAGATTCAGTTTATGAAGCAAACACATATCATATCACCAGAAAGTAAACACTTAACCCCCGAATGTTTTCCTAAGTAGTCGCACCATGACAAACACACAGGCCACGGTATCACGACGATATCACTTACCTTTGTAGAATTTGGTCTAGCCCTAGTCCAGTCGAGGATAGCGTCCTTGACGCACCTGGACATCGAGATGGGTGCATCCAAGCCCCGTTGCAGGAACCAGCTGCTTGTTGCAAAGAGAATGCCAAGACAACGGTCTTGTCACGCGAGCCTGATGGTACCAGAATTGAGGTAAGGTACATCAGCAAAGTTAGTATTCTTGCAGAAGTGGTGTTGGTAAAGGATTCTGAGACTAAAGTTTTGGGAGTTATAAAGCTCATGATTGATTCGGTTCGAGGGAATCAAACACTCCAGGGCGTATGCAGATGCCACAAGAAATGCATTTGTTGGATATCGTCCACGGGCATGTCGCACACTGCAGGCTGCCTTAACATATGAACTGTGAGCATTGATATCAAATCTTACAAGTGAATCTAATCTAAGGTATTGGCCGAAGGAGCCAGGCAATCAAGGGTGGGTGTGCAGTCGTCGAACTCCCAGGAGCCCCAAGCCAAAGGACTGGTACAAGTTCGCTTCAGGTTCTGAGGACTCAGAGTAGAGTAGAGCTCAGTGATCAGTGATCAGTACAGTCTCGTACAGCAGCTGCTGCCGAGAAGCTCGATCATTGAATCAGTGCAGCCATTGCGCATTGAAATTGCCTCCTTTGGTGTCCCAATAGCGCGCAAGCTGTTTTTAAGGCCGGCTTGAAGGCTAGTGGATTTCACCCGTTGCCTCTCTTTGTTTTCGGTAGTCCGTGTTTGTGCACAAGCGGCGTAAACTAACAGGTGTCGGTGTTGATGGTTTGTTTATGTTTGCTTGGTCGATAGTTTCGACTGGAATCAGAGGCCGAGGCGTTTTTCTCCTTTGATCATTTGAAACCGCTTCACGCGTACGTCACGCAGTGAGCACGTGCGTGACAAAAATGCTCAAATGTTCAAGTTGGATTCTGACACTCAGTTTCTTTTTCTCTACAACAGATTGTGTGAGGAAAGCAATGCCTGGGTGTCAATCGAATGATCGAATCATATCATATCATATATAATATCAGATGATACATATCAGCATGATAGATATATATGTATATATATTGTATATTATAATGACTATATAATCGAGTTTTATTCATCAAGACTCAAGACAGTTTTTGGAGTGTGCCGAAGCCAGCAACTTGTGAGTTGTCTACTTTTTGTTGGTGGTAGCATGCACGCAAAAGACCGGACACATACTTTTTCTCAAGCACTTTGTTGCGAGTGTTCCCTGTCACTGTGATCTAGTGATCTGTTCGTTTGTCGTTGCGAAGCTTGCCTATGCCGCGCCCCAAATCGAACAACTCCGCGTGCAAGTTTTGCAGGAAGAGGTTTGGTGTGGATCCCAACCCCACGGTCTTGAATCAGCCAGACGACTTGCTGAAGAGGAGGTGTCCCATGTCGAAGGATTGCAAAGTGTGTCATGGCTTCATCAAAAACCATCCAGTATACTCGGAGATGTCATCGAGTGCTTTGGAGACTCACCTTCAAGACCCCCAGAATTTCGAGAAGTTCATACGCGAGCATGAAGAATGGTGTGAGCAACGACGCAACGGATCAAAACGCAGGCATGCAGAAGGCAAGGTTAGTTCACAACAATATTTGTGGGGCAGTGGGCTTGGTTTCAGCAAACACCACCACTGTAGTGTAGTGTTGACACAACCCGGTCGATCAAATGTTACTGCCCCTCCCCTGTTGAGGAGAGAAGACCACTACTGCAGAGCAGACCAGCAGCTTCGAGACTAAGCAGGTCCTCGGCTACCTTTGGACCAAGCAGCTCTTGAAGAAGCATGGTAAGCCAATACCATCCAAGTTCCAAACCATCAAGCACCAAGGGCAGGTTGTCAAAGGAGCAATACTTGAAGAGTGGGTGGTTGGTGTCTTTGATGGTCTCAGTCCATTTTTGTCGTTCGGTGTGCGTTTTGTTTTGAGAACTTTCATATTTCATATTTACTCTTTTTCATATGACTCATTTCAAGTGAATGTCTCAAATAAGACTGTAGACCTATTATATGTATAAACATAGTTTAAAGAAACATAACCTGAAATTATGAGTATGGTTGGTTTAGTTTTTTTACTATTATTACTAATGACTAATGACTAATATAGACATATGACTCACTCGATTGAAACATGGTCAGTACCGAGGATCTATTGAAGTCTCCGCCAGTAGTGCGAAGACTGCAAAACACGTGGCCGTGATTGCAGATGGTGGCTCCGACGATGACAATGTGGCAGCAGAGACCTTTGATGTCGCCTAGAAAAAGTTGAGGGTGAGCAGTGTCCAGAATTCCGAAGGCGAAGTTGGCTTGAAGCTAGCAATGTTCAAGATGAAAGTTTGCTTTGTTATATATATTTGTGCCAAAGGACTCACATGCCAACATCCTACTTTGGGGAAGCTTCTTTTTTGTGGGGCTGCTGCCAGTCAAGGAAAGTGGCATCCAAATCTGACAATGATGATCACGATGATCTCATGGCATTGTTGTGGGGTGATAGCAAGTGTCCTTTGGCATCTACCGGTAAAATGCAGGGTACTTCAGATGGTGACGAAGAGAATCCAAACGGCAGCTCTTCGAGCAAAAGACGGAGACGGAATCGGCAGCCAGCTGGTGAGGATGCTGCTCCAACTCTACCTGCTCCTGATCAAGCCAATGCCAATGCCAATGCCAATGCTACGCCCTTTTCATTTTTGACTCCTGCCACCACCAACAAGAAGGCAGCCCAAGAATCCCGTGAACTGGACAAGGCAGAAGCGTTGGCTCTGCAATGCAACCAGCTCAAGTTGCAGTTCCAAGATGCTCCTTCGGTCATGCAGGTTACATGCTCCAAGGTGAACGGTATCATGGACAAGGTCGATGCCAGATTGAAGGATTCTACGGAGGTCAATTGTGAAACGGTTCGACGTGACGGCAGCGGTTGTCGAGCAGAAAGAGTATGGCAGAATTTGAAGGACTCGAAGTCTTTCTTGGAAGCAGCTTTGGAGATGGTCGAAGCTCTGCACGATAAAGAGGCTTCACCAGAGACAATGACTATGAAGGTGCAAACACTCAAGTCTATGGGAGTGTCACTGCCCGTGGTTGTCCAATCTTCAATCTTGAGTCGTCGCGCTGAGTCTATGCTTGAGAGTGGCAAGGTAGCGGAAATCTTTGAGATGCCTCACTACAAGAATGGTCAAAGCACCAATGATTCTGATGCTGGGATCAACGCCGTTGTTCCAAGCAAAGAGAACGAGGAGACGCGAAACAAGATCATCAGTGACTTTCAAGCCGCATGCGTGACGCGCCTGATCAACACCATCTTCCTGAAGCAGTTCAAGGTGGAGTCTGGGTTTCTTAGACATTTGCTGAATATACTTTCTATCAACTATGACTCTGACTTAGACTATGACTATAACTTGAGCTAGATTAGGCTATACTATACTATCCATCACATTTTGTGCCAACAACTTATTTTATTTGCTTTGAATTTGTTTTTGGTATGAATCAAACTGGTCGGTAAGTAACTTTGTCCACTTATGTCACTGTCGCCTTGTTGACCCAAGGTCCACAGATGACGGCGCCGCCAGGAAGAAATTCATGGACGAGATGCTTGAGAAGCTGCTGTCGTTGGTGAAGGCTTTCCAGAACTCAGTCATTTTTGATACTGCAGCTCCAAAGAAATCAACGTTCAGAGATGATGTCTTGCACATCACACTTTTGTGCGATTCCATTTCAAGCCCGTCATCACTCAATGATCAGATGGTCGAGAAGCTTGAAGCAGCAAAGCAGAATCTTCTGAAGCCAAAGGGCTCGTTCCAATCCGGTATGACCATCTATCCTACGGGCTCGTATCTCTCGGAGCAGGTCGCCCAAGTGATTGGGCAATTTCAGCAGGATCAGATGTTGAGGAGTGACATGCAGTCGGCAGACGAAACAGCTGCTATTTGGAAAACCGAAACCATTACAAAGGACTTGATCTTGAAGTCAAAGGACGATGACCATGAGTTCTGCATACCCATGCAGAGCAAATTCTACGACATGGTTGCCAAGCTTCAGCTTTACAAGGAGTCTGCTTCAGATAGGCTGAAGGCTACAGACAAGAGCCTTGAGGTCGTCAACAGGATTGATGGTCTTGTGGATCAAATGCAAAGTGCAGTGACTGCAGCAGTGGCCTTCAAGTACACACAGAAGTTCCCCAAGCTGCTCGAGTCATTTGCTTCCTTGGCCGACGGTAACTTGACATGGATTTATTTTGTTTTATTCAGTTGGCTTTGCGCATCTTTGAATTGGTAACATGGGTTGACAAGCAAAAGCAAAGTATGAAATCAGACTCTAACAATTTCAATTTAACCAATCAATGTCAAATAGACGACGCTAAAATACAGTAGATTTTGGTGATCTCACGTTACGTCAAACCAGGTAAGATGGATGAAGAGAATGCGGCGAACTTCATCCAAACCTTGAATGGAGTGGTGACATATCAGCCTTTGCGCAAGGTGGCGTTGGCAAAGCTTTTGGGGAAGGACGGGGCATCTCCTCTTGAGAAAGAGACTGCGTCGATTGGGAGGTTGATAGCGTGCATCAAAGATGCTCTACTCAAGCTTCGCCTGTTGCATGGTCCTTCAATCTCAGAAAGCCTCTTGATGGACGAGCACATCAAGAGCCTCTTTGCAAGTATTCATGATGATGATTTGGTGAATGCCTTCAAGAAGATCGTGCCCACTTGGTCTGAGATCATTGAACGAGTGGATGGACTCATTCAAGGGGCAGTGAAATCGTGGATGTCTACTACCACCTCAACCTTCAGAACATTCATCAACAAGCTTTTGGACACTCAGATGAATTACGAAAGCGTTCTGCATCCTGATATTCTTGGTGCTGTTGTTGATGGAGATGAGAAGGACACAAGTTCATGATTAAGTTTTATGATTCAATGATTCCTTTGCCGTTGCAAGAACCAGAAGTTTATAGAAGCAAATAAAGAATGTATTGACATCATACTTTGGAATGCCTGCCAAAAAAGCAGTAAGCAAGTTCTAAAGATGATGTTTGATCAAGAAAAGGGAAAACAACAATTCAAATCATTCTAATATTGATATGATATGATATGATATGATGATTATTATATGATGATTCAAACTCAACCCGTGGAGGAGGCTGAGTTCGACTACTCGAAGCTCTGCGTCGCGTACGTGTCCCACACGCCTGAGAGCACCATTGAGCTTCCCAAGGTCGAGGACGGGGAAAAGACTGTGCGAGTTCATTTGTCCTTCCTCGCAGTGGCTGGCTGTCTTCTACACCTTTCCAAAGTCATGCTGGCGATCAAGGGAACATTGGAAGAAGCTGATCAGCTTGGGGCCATCAGCGAGCCCATCACCAAAGAGCGCAAGGGCATAAAGGAGAACGGACAAATTGTCACCAACAAAATGGATGTTTTTGTGAAGCTGTGCCCGTTCTTTGCTCAAATGGAGAAGATGGTCATGACTTACCAGGACTTGGTTTCCAAAGTCCGCAATGACACGCCTTTCTTGGAGCAGGAGAAGGACTTCTACACGAGTGCTGCCAAGACTTTTAGAAAGTTCCTGTTACAAGGCCTCCGGGACAGCAGCAATGAGCTTTCGAACATTGGCAATGCCTTGTCCACACTCTTTGCTGAAGTTGATGGTGCGCACAAGATCCTGAATCTTTTTCAATCAGATCCACTAGACCGTGATCGTGTCGCAGATTTGGTGAAAGATGACCGTGTGAAGCTCATGCTGTTGATGGGAACCAAAGCCAGTGCGTTCTCAAAACAGTTGAAAGAGCTTGTGACCGCCATGACGTCTTTGCCAAAGGGATCATTGCTCACAGAGACTTTGCAGAAAATGGTCACTGCTGCTGCAGACGATCTGACCAAATTCAGTGGTGCTCAGAATCCTCAGCGCATGGTGGAAGAGAAGGAGATGGTGACGTTGGGAAATTTTTCGTGGTTTCAATCCTCCATGACCTTAGCGCAGTGCCTCACCCGGAATTTATACCCAGGTGAAACCCGAGTAGGCCTGGCGTCCAAATGCCTGGTCCTTCTTCAGAAGAAAGGCGTGCAAAGTGAAGGAGCCTTACAGCGCCGCGTTGCGGCACTCAAAGCCGGCAAATGACCGAGTACAGCGAGTGCTAAGCTACGCCAAAGTGTGCCAGATGAGGGTTTGGCTGGCGCATATGGCCGTTGTTTACAGATTAGCGTGCTGGGTTCCAAAGACCTCGACACCTGATCCCAGGTGTGAATCTGAACATGGAGGTGTGAAAAAGGCTGCGTGCAGCAATCAATGAAATCATTTGTCAGTTTGCTGAGCAGTCAAGCACGTGTCGCCGCCATAGCGATTTGGTAGATGGGAGGTAAACCATAAGAATCTGTTTTCGACAATTTTTTAGTGATAGTTATCACCGATGTTGGTGAATAATTATCACCCATTTTGGGGATAGTTATCACACCCATTTTGGTGATAGTTATCATCCGATTTGGTGATAGTTATCCCCGATTTTGGTGGTAGTTATCCCCGATTTTGGTGATAGTTATCCCCGATTTTGGTGATAGTTATCCCCGATTTGGTGATAGTTATGTACCTGGTTTGCCTCCCATATACCCTAAAGAAAACGTGTTAGAGCGACGTACTAAGTAATTAGTGGTGAAATGTTTGGGTCATTTTTAAAGTGGGCTGCAATCTAACATGCCAGGCATGACAAGGGCGGAGTCCACTATGTCCACTGAAGGAGTTTAGAAGAGATGGACCGGAGTCCAAAGTTGTTTCGCTAAACTATGGGCCGAAGCGAGTCCAAAGCAAGAGCACCCAACATGGTCTGGCAACTTTGGTAGTATTTCACATCCAGATTCTTGTCACCAATTACAGTAATGATCCCATCAACCGCTTATTTGATGGCAGCGGTGATCCTCAATGTTCGGAACATATTCTTTGCTGAACAAACACACACACTTATGATTATGCGTACTGAACTGAAAGCGGTTTGCCACACGCCGGCCTGAGTTAAAAACCTGAGATACCAAGAGGACAAATAGTTAAAGGCCATCGCTTTTAGGTTGGAGGCCATCGCAAGGAAGTTGGAGGCCAACGGCTAAGGTTGGAGGCCGTCGCTAGTAGGTGGTAGGTAGTATGCGCAAGCAAAGCAAAAGTGACAAGTAGCAAGTTAAAGGCCATCGCTTTTTTGGTTGGAGGCCATTGCAAGGAGGTCTGGGCCAACGCCTAAGGTTGGAGGCCGTCGCTAGTAGGTGGTAGCTAGTAGGCACACGCAAAACAAAGTGACAAGTAGTAAGTTAAAGGCCATCGCTTTTTTGGTTGGAGGCCACTGCAAGGAAGTTGGGGCCAACACCTAAGGTTGGAGGCCGTCGCTAGTAGGTGGTAGGTACTATGCACAAGTAAAACAAAAGTGACAGCAAGCAGCAAGGTTGGAGGTCGTCGCTAGCGGGTTGGAGGCCATAGTACCAGGTTGGAGGCCAGTGCTGCAAGTTTACAAGAAGCACAAGAAACACAAGACACACAAGACAGCCAAGGTTAGAGGCCAATGCTAGTGGGTGGAGGCCAAGGAATTCAGGTTAAAGGACCACATTACAAGTTTGGAGGCCTACCTGCAAATCTATAGGGTAGAAGCGAGGAAAAACAGAAGGAAAGGCACTGACGCACAAGTGTGTCGAGTACCATTTCCTTCTGTTTTCCTAAACAGTGGAGCAGGTGCAAACCAGTCCGGCAAGCAACGGAAAGCGAGAAGCGAGCGGGCGCGGTCGCGACGTGCAGGTTTTCTGCGTATTTTTTGTTTTCCTGGTTGGTTTTCCTATGTGCTTTCCATGTCTTTTAAGTTGGCTTGCCTTGTTTTCACCTCTTCTCAAGTAGGTTAGCCTTGATCCAGTGCGTTGTCTGCCCAAAAGCGTAGTTTCATACTTTTGGGGTTGCCGTGTCAATTTTGCCAGGTGCTTTCCATTCTTTTCAAAAGGGCTTGCCTTGGTTGTGTCCATTCTGTGCTCTTTGTGTCTTCTTGTGGGCCTTGGTGTCAAAAAATTTTCATCTTAAGCTGATTTGCTTTGTTTCCGTCTCTTCTGTGCTCTTTGCGCCTTAGGTGCTTTCCATCTTTTTTAAATGGGTTACCCTTGGTTCTGTGTCTTTGTGAGCCTTGTTGCGACAAAACTGGCTCTAGGCCCCAATGTAATTTTCGTGTTGTTGGCTTCGTATTGTTGGTTTCCTGGTTGGTTTTCCTATGTGCATTCCATGTCTTTTAAGTTGGCTTGCCTTGTTTTCGCCTCTTCTCAAGTAGGTTAGCCTTGATCCAGCGCGTTGTCTGCCCAAAAGCGTGGTTTCATACTTTTGGGGTTGCCGTGTCAATTTTCCCAGGTGCTTTCCATTCTTTTCAAAAGGGTTTGCCTTGGTTGTGTCCATTCTGTGCTCTTTGTGTCTTCTTGTGGGCCTTGGTGTCAAAAAAATCCCATCTTAAGCTGGTTTGCTTTGTTTCCGTCTCTTCTGTGCTCTTTGTGCCTTAGGTGCTTTCCATCTTTTTTTAAATGGGTTACCCTTGGTTCTGTGTCTTTGTGAGCCTTGTTGCAAAAAAGTGGCTCTAGGCCCCAATGTGATTTTCGTGTTGTTGGCTTTGTACTTTTGGGTTTCCTGGTTGGTTTTCCTATGTGCTTTCCATGACTTTTAAGTTGGCTTGACTTGTTTTCGCCTCTTCTCAAGTAGGTTAGCCTTGATCCAGTGCGTTGTCTGCCCAAAAGAGTGGTTTCATACTTTCGGGGTTGCCGTGTCAATTTTCCCAGGTGCTT